TTTTTTTTTTTTTTTTTTAAAAGGAAAGCGGGGCCCCTTTTTTTTTTTTTTTTTTTTTTTTTGTTTGGGGGATTTGGGGTTTTTTGGGGCAATTTTTAAAACCCCCCCCAAAGTTTAGGGAAAGGGAGGGAAAAGGGGGGCCCGGGAAAAAAAAGTTTTTGTTTTTTAACCAAGGGGGGGGAAAATTTTTTTTTTTTTCCGGGTTTGGGGGACCATTTTTTCCCCGGGTTTTTTGGCCCCCGAGGGGCCCAAAAAAAAAAACCAAAGGGGTTTTTTTTTTTCCCCCCCCCCCCCCCCCCCCCCCCCCCCAACGCGCTCTTGGAGAGTGTTGTTGTGAGAAGGAGACAGAACACGGACACGAGAGATTGGAACTCACGACGCCACGATTTGTAAACTGATGGAACAGATATTGAAAACGGAGGGGGGTGGGGGGTGAGGGTACAGTATTACGGGCGGTTGGCATCTGTACACATGGGCCTCTCTCTGCACGAGACGATTTTCTTTTCCTGCTTTCTTCTTCCCCGTACGTACATGGCCTGTGTTCAGGTGGAGTTAAATATGGGTGGGAGGCGAGCTTTTGCAAGGGTGATTGCAGTTACGTGCCCTGGATGGGTGTTCTTTCGTAGCATGGGTGTTCTTTCATTAGCACCTATCATATACGGTGGAGGTGGTTGTAAAAGGCGTTTGGTTTTATGGAAAGTTCGGGAGTGGGCAACGAGTGATAACGGTCGGCTTTTGTTTTTTTATGAGGGGGAGGAAGAGGAGGGTTGGTGCGGCATACCCGCTGGATATCTATCTATCTATCTATCTTGCTACCTGGCGGCTCGTGTGGTGGCCAACGCCGCGTCTCAGAACGAAAATCAGCAGCGATGTGCGCGGGAACAACGGCAATGTGTGGGCGTCGTAATTGTGTGGACCTCGTTCGCGCCATACGCTCTGCTTCTGGTCCTTCCTGTTAAGGGTGGAATGGAAGATTGGTAGGGATAGGTGTATGATGTGTACTGTATACCATGACTCTTGTTACGGAGCATGTTAGCGCGACGTTTGTAGGTGTGGGTGTACGCTACCCCGAGAGAGGTGTATTTTTTCTGTGCTTGTCTGAGATGCATTTTTTTCCTCATCTACCTGTTAAGCTGGGTGTCGGAGAACAGCTCGCTCCTCCCGCGGTTGATATATCTGCAGCAATGTGTGCTGTGCGTTGCGTGATTTCGATGCCAAGTGTAGACGGTGGTTTTTCTTATCTGTCGTTGTTTTTCGTCATCAGCACCACCGCCTCCCGTTGGAATTCAAGACACGGTGGTATACGGACCGAGACCGCGGCGTGGTTTTCATCGCGTTGGACTTTTTATCGGTCGGTGTAGACCTTTCTACTGATGATGCTGTGGGTGACCCAATGAAACACTGGTGGTTGGGAGATAGATCCTACTTTGAGATTGTTTTGATTTCGGGTTCTTTGTGCTTCTTCTCCTTTGGTGGATTTTCCCTTGTTACTAAATCTCTCCTTGCGTGTTTTGGATCTGCCTGTGGTGCGTTTCGATGTTTGGTGCTGCTGCATGTTTTGTGACATTTTTTTAGAATGGGAACGCGCTTTTTCGCGTGTTTCAGCGCGCATGGCGAGAGCTTTTTTTCTGCGTTTTCTTGGCATGTTGCTGGGTGGGTGGGTGTATGCATAAATCGAAGTATTGTGTTTGTGTACCTGCGTGGCGAGGGCTAGGCGATTATTGGTAAGAGTGGAAGTGTCGAGTGCGCGCATTCCTGTCCCTCGTTGTTGCAGTCGTTATCGTCGTCGTCTTCTTTGGCTCGGTGCCTGGCGATCTGATACAGGCAAGAACGGGGCAAATTAATTCAAGTAGGTGTCGTTGCTGCTGCACCACACCACGCTCGCCAATCAACGCTCTTTTCCGTCCCGGCACGGGCTTCGAGAAGCAGCGACAGCGGGAAGAGGCCTGTGTTGTAACCGCAGGCTAAGCTTGCTCCTTGTGAAGTCGAACACGAATCGACAAACATCATTAGAACACGACAAAGGCATAATTTCGAGTGGCGCAGATCACAGGGAAGTAATTGTTACGGAGGGCTGTTTTTTTTTGTTCCCTTGTTCTGTTTCGTCTCTTGGTTGGGTGTTTCATAATATTCTATTTTTGCCGCTCTGTCGCGGTCGTGTACGCGTGTCCGGTCTTTGGTTAAAAAAAAATACATTGGGTAGGATGGTGGTGGTGGATGCAACCAAACACACGCCGTCAGGTCTTAAGAGGGAAGGGAAACTCAAGACGGTTTCAAGCCCGCGGTGTGTGTTTGTGTATGTATGGTATGTGTTTCATGGGAGGATTAATGAGTGGTGGCGGGCTGTTGTTTATTGTTGGTAGCCATTGTCTTGCTTGGCGAGGAGACCAGAGTACGTAAGTGTGTGTGTTGCATGATGACTGCATGAAACGAAGAAGGACCGACGACGACGTTACAGCTCCGAAATTGACTTGACGGAGAGAGAGAGAGAGAGAGAGAGAGAGAGAGTTTAGGGGTTTGCGTATTTTCTTCTTCGTCATGTCTGCACGCGTTATCATACACATGATCATCCCGTCGAACTTACCACCGACGAGTGACGCGCCCGTTTCAAAGGACGGTCTGTCGACGATCGGCGGCGGTTTCGTTTCGTTGCGGTTTAGACTCTGTGCCCCTGATGATGTAGTGTCTCGGTCCAGCGCAGTACGTACCGTAGAGTAGGAGCCCGCTCTCGCTCGCTCCCTCATGATTGATTGTTGTTCTGCGAGTTGTTGGTGGCTTTTATTTCCATGCATCTTTGCGTAGTGTGTCTGGGATTGGTATGTACACAGGTGCTCGACGAAAACATCATTACTTTATATCAAGTCCATTACTTTGTTCCGTTTTTTTTTGTTGAGGCAACAACACCGGACGGAGAGAGACCAGGAGGAAGCGAGTTATCGCATGGGTCAGAGACCGCCTTTCGCTTCCCGAGCTTTCGTCTGAAAGAAGTTCCAAAACCTGAAGCCCTCCCTCGTTCGGCCGCGGTGGGGTACGTTCCCGCCAACCTCAATCTGTCTGTCCGACGGCTTCTAACCGGGGGGTGTTGCATACCTGTGCGAGAGATTCAGTTTGAAAGCCTCGAGTAAGGTAGCCTCAGGTGCTGCGAACCTTTGCGCGAAGGCACACTCACGCCCCCCCTTTTGGCTCGCGTCCTATATACAAAGAGCTGGAGACGTTGTCCTTGTCTGTTACAAGCCACCTTCTCACACTCCTGACATTCAACCGCATGCATGTACGATACGTCCGCCTCGGTACCGATCGAAAGGTATTGAATTGCCACCAACAGGGTCCGTCGTGCGAACTTGTCTATTATTGTAGTGGATCTCTCTTCTCTCAGGGCCCCGCCGCACTGCCTTGAGACCTGTCCTTACACCATATCATGAACCAGTAAACAAACTAATGGGCTGCATCCCGCCCGAGTACGTCTCTCCATTCGTTTCATGGTGTCCAATCCGAGAAACGAACTCGGATTTCCAACAAATTCATTCCCACCCGTTTCATGATGTCCAATCCGAGAATCAAACTCGGGTTTCCAGGATATCTCCCATCCGTTTCATGATGTCCCATGAGAGAATCGAAGTCGGGTTTTGAGGGAGTGTTCCCATCCGTTTCATGGTGTCCAATCCGAGAATCAAACTCGGGTTTCCAGCATACTTCCCATCCGTTTCATGATGTCCAATCGAATAATCAAATACGTGTTTCCAGGATACTTCCCAACCGTTTTTTCGTGGTGTCCAATCCGAGGACCGAACTCGAGTTTCCAGAATACTTCCCGTCCGTGTCGTGGTGTCCAATCCGAGAATCAAACTCGGGTTTCCCATCCGTTTCATGGTGTCCAACGCGAGCATCCAACTCGGGTTTCCAGGATCGATCGTTCTTGGGCGTTGTCGGGGTCCTTCGGCGAGGGACTTGTCCCGACTACCGGGTTTTACTTTCCATTACGTAGAAAAACGTCGGGGTATCGACGGCAACGACATGTCGAGGGAGGTCTCTTTACGAGTGTATTTGCAAGGTACCATCTTCTGCGTACATGTACGCTGCGTCTGTCTTTTTTAAGTCCGACATTTTCGGTCCATCAGTTTGATTCTCGGACATTGTAGGGTTGGCGCACTCTGTGGTTTTCTCGCCACGGTAGCATGATTTGTTTTCTGCGTCAAGCTAGGGAGGCTGATACCTGGGAGGAATTCGTCAAATCCCCTAGGTGCTGCCGACATAGTTTGCGGGGCCCGTAACCGAAGGCGCACACCTCCCTTGGGCTCGCTTCATACCTGAGCTTCTGCGTTTAGATGATCAATCAAAGGCCTACAAGACCTATTGATGCGTTATAGGCTCACACTGTACTACCGACGTTCAAGTGCGTACATCGACCTCAGCACCCGATCGAGAGCTACACCCTGCAAGCAAAGTCGTCATGTGATATTTATTCTGGTTTAACTCCAGCTCTTGGGGTCCTGCCTCGCTGAGACCATGAGCGCCTCAAATCAACACAAGTGCAGAGAGTTTACTGCGGCCCCGCCGACCCCGGCCTCAGCGTGCCCTCCTGCTTCTGTGCAGTCGATCATTCATTCACGCCTGCCTCAATTTTCTCAGCCCATAACCGCTCATCCAAGTTACAGGTTCCTGCCGCCACGTCTGCTACGGCGGCGATCTGAAGAAAGTACGTTACAACGAAGAGGTAAGACTACACACGAAAGGAGTATGTAATAGTCACCCACGTCTCATGTTCCCATCGCGGCCGGCCGCGGAACCCGCACTTGGCGTGTGTGACGTGTGGCTCTCGCTTTCAGGGGGGACAATACGACACGATCAAGACAAAATCTCTGTTACATCGATCATAGCCGGGACAAGCCAAAAACACCCTCGTAAATCCGTAAATCCGTAAACAATCTCTCTTAAACGCAGCAGCCGCTACTGCATCACAAACACCTGGGAGGGTGCGGTTCACGTGTAGAGTAATACCTAAATGTAGTTGCCTAAGACGGCATCACGTACAAAACGCCCGCCCCCTTCCCCCCGCCCCGGTGTTTGCCATCGGGGTTTGGGTTTTCGTCGCTTGGCAACGACGTTGTAAAACAAGCCCCCCACTCGGTGTTTGCCATCGGGATTGGGTTTTCGTCGCTTGGCAACGACGTTGTAAAACAAGCCAAGTCACTTCGTGAACTCGGCAACCAGGTTACCGTTTTTTTTTTTTTACCTCTGTTTTTTTTTTGGCGGTAACCATAATGGTGGTCGAGTAGATCATGTTGTGCGGGGTCGAGAAACCTCACTCCGCGCAACGGGGGATGATCGCACGACGTTGTGTTAAAATGGTCAAGCTTCCTCGAGGCAGTTACACAGTGCTTACAACTGTCTCTGGAAGTGAAAGCACCAGAAAATAAAATAAGTCATACGTAGCCTGTCATCCGTACGCAAGGAAGTAAGCACAAGATGCCGAACACCCTTAGCAGGATGCAGCTCACCCTTCATGCGACTCGCCAAATACCTCACGGCGCTTCGCGCTTGGTGATGTGAGAGCCTGGTCCGGTGAGAACCCGGCGTGCTCCGTCCCGGCTTTGTAGGGATGCGAGGTCAATGGTCAAACGACTACGGCATGCACGACTATGAGTACACCCCCCCCCCCCCCCCCCCCC